AGAAAAACTTATTCATCAAGACAACAGTCCTGTGCCTTTCCTTTATTAGCACTAGAATTTTTATGTAAGGGATATGCACAAATGAGACCCACATTTTCCTACTTAAAACATAAAGGTCTCTATTGTTCCATGTTACACCAGTACTGCTATGAAAACTTAATTTCTCCAACTTTTTTTTCTCCATGAAGAACAGAACTACTGTTCGCTTAGCTGTTCCAAACAGAATGCATGCTCAAAGGGTGAGATAAGGGGAAAGAAAGAACAAATTACCACATTCATTTACTACTTTCTCCTTCTTCCTTTGATTATTAGCATGAAAGCTTCCTACAAAGCCTCATAATTCATTAAATTATTTTAACCCAGTGCATATGTTCAACAGATCCATATATTTGTCAAACCTACTGTGAGTTAATGTCTGTCTGTGTAAAAATCATCTATAATGCTAATATTATAAACCATAAACACAAAATATTATTGCAGAAACAATATTTGACACTAAAATAACAGAAAAATAATGCTAAGAATGCTTGATGCACATCATAAAGAGATTAAATACAGAGGCTGATTAAAAAAAAAAATCTGTAGTCACCACTTGGAAGAAGAAAGACTTAGAATCATGCAGTTTTAAACTTTTCCTGACCATGAGAAAACATTCTGTGCACTGTAATTACACCAAGTGCTTTACCGTCCCTGTTAAACTTTTGTTCATGTGTAGACAGAACTTTTCCTATTTAAGTAATTATTTAGTAAGTATCTACTGCATTTATTTCCGAGTTTTCTACATATACTACAAAAAAATCTTCAAATTAAAGTCCTCACCCCCAAAACACTGTACAGTCAAGTGTTACGCAGCAGTGGTGGAAAGTGGTAAAACAGGCATTCATGTTACAAGGTAAGAAACTCAAGTCAAACTGGTAACACCCAATGAAGAAACCTAAATACATCCATCCCTTTTCATACCTATATAAATAAAAATTATGGTAGACCTCAGCTACATAACCTTCTCCCTTCTCTCCCAAATAAGCCTGTAATAACAAATGTACTGAGCAGGTATCATGTTAGGTAAATAACACGGCTTATATTCATCCCTTAATGAGAGCATGACCATGGGAGGGGCACAACTGTCATGGAGGTCCTGAGCCACCAAGTCTACTCTTCCTTTATCACTGACAAAATTTCATATAATCCTTTTCACTAATTTGAGGGTTAGATTTGATGATCTTAAAGGTCTTTTCCAACCTTTCCCTCATAGAACCTAAATGATTTTATGATGCTATACAAGTCAATTTTCCTCCATTTTAGTCCTACTGAAAGCTGTTGCAGAGTCTGAGCACTAACTGCAAGAAAATTCTTCCAGTTTTCTACCCACATTTATTAAGGATGTGCTATCTCATTTTTACAATAATAATTCATGCATTCAGTATTTCATTCTAAATTTAAATTTTTTTGTGTTATCTAATTTAAGATAATACAGATCAGGGCACTACAGGCACATTAATATATGTTATTCAACTATTACATGTTTTTTTATTTGCAAGTGTTGAAGCACTGTAAATATGTGCAACTTGGGGAAAATACTACGCTTTCTTACAACAAAATTTTTCACTGTAATCTAATACTGCCACTTATTTTATACAATTTATTTAATGGAACTATTATACCATTAATATATCCATCAAATCTATACTTTATATAAATATATATGTATATACACACATATGTATAAATTTCATACAAAGTTTTACCTTTTACTTCATACCTATTTTAAAGAAAATTAATTTTAAAGGATGACAATAAATTCTTCTAAAAAACAGTTGTCAACATAAGGTTCAACACAATTAAGTGAAATATCCTGTTCAGTGTTACTAAGTGTTTACTAGTTAAAGGTTTGTTGGGGTTTTTTTGAATGTAAAGGTCATTGGGTTATTAAAACATTTACAAAACAAAACCCAAAACAACAAAACCAACACTGTGAAAAGCTTACCTCATACCATAAAGACTTCTCAAGAAAGGAATTAAATTCCCATTTTATTAAGGTCTGAATTATAGTTAGCTGTTCTGTTGTAATCCTAGAAAGCTTCAAGACACTGTTGTTTCTTCTTTGCTCAACATAATTCCAAGCAACAGTTCCTATGTGCCCTGATGGCAAAGTCCTAACAATTGCTCTCGTTCCAGTATAAACTGATTTTTTAACCTCTTTATCATTTTTACAGAATCGTCTAATCAACAATGTAGAACGTTCCTTTTTGTTTCTAAAAAAATCCTCTTCCAAATCTTCTTCACAGTTATCGTTACAGTCTTCAAAATGGCTCAGAAAGGGCTTTGAGGGCATTCTTCCAGTAAAGTTATTTCCACAGAAGCTGTGACCTGAGCACGCCACTTTAATCTTCCGTGGTGCTCTTTCCAGACATAAATACTTATCCCTTAAAGTGTCCTCATACAACTGCTGCCCATTTTCATTCTCACAATTATTTGTCAACTCCATCAATCTGCAAGTACAAGTCAGGGAGCCAGTGGTGTTACCATCACCAACACTTCCTGGCTGCAAGCAGTCATCCAAAATGAAGCTGCTGTGTAAACTGCACAGAGCTTTTGATATATTCCCTTCACTAGCACAATGAAAGTGAAAAAAGGCCACTTTATCAGTATCATTGCTGTCATTCTTATTTACTGCTGTCTGGCTTCTCAACGAAGGTCCATTCATCTTCAACTGAATTTCAGCAAGCATGGCTCTTTCCAGTGAAGCAGGAATTCCAGTTTCCAGGCATGCCTCTCCCCCTGCTAAAGGATCACAGGATTTATACAGCTGGCTGCACGGGATATTGCTCTTGTAGTTTTTCTGTACAACGTTACAGTTAATGTTAAGAAATTCCACTGAATCAGGGATGGAGCTGTTCCTCTCCCAGAAGTTTTCATTACTATTGTCATTAGTCAGTTTTTCTTTTGCCAGAGAGAATATTTTGGGCACTGAGCCCTGAAGACTTTCTTCTTCAAGTCTGTCTAAGTATGAGAAAGCGTGTGTGGTTTGCCTTCCCGAACTGGCAGGGTGTCTTTTTATAACACTGGTGTCCAAAGCATTTTGACTATTTTCATCTCCAGCTGACTGAGCAGGTATCACTTTACCCTGTACCACAGAGACAAGAACAGACGCTGTCACCTCCTCAGAGGTCATCTTGACACAGTCTTTAATTGTTAGATGTGTATTGGGGATGGGGAAGAGGGCAGGAGGGGAGGGTGCGTTGTCTACCAATCCTCACAGCACGATTTCAGTGTAATAAAAGGTTCAGTGCTAAGTAATCAGGGAACACATGGTAAAATACACATTGACTACTTGTTCTTTTTGAACTGGTTTTTAAAAGGAAGTGTATTTTTTGACTGTTGGGCTATTAGCCTTTGCCAGCCTTGGATTACTAGCAAGAAATACAGACATTTTTAAACCAGCTTTTTACTGTGACATGGCCATTCAGCTTGTCTCTTCCAGCAATTACTTCGTCTATCATATGTAGCAGACACACTGTTGCCTCAGGTCGTATAAGATGACCAAACACGTAATCCATGTCAAAGACACTTCTCCCCATAAGGCATCCAAAAATTCGGTTTTCTGGGGGGGGGGAAAAAAAAAAAAATAATTAACTATATATATATATTTAACAGAATCCATGGCACAAAATCCACTATTAGAACTACAACAGCAAGTTTGGATTTTTTTAATGCAAAGACTAAGAACACAAAACAACAGAAGTTATTGTTCTGAGACCTAGAGAATCCCAAAATACACATTCAAATCTGTCTTAAAGTCTCATTTTACAATTTGGGAAATCACAGTAATGATTTATATATTTAAATTGCTGTCTTCACTTTACTATGGAAAGCTACATGACTGCAGAAAACTAATTTTACTGAAGCTTTAACACTGAAATTGAACATACAGGATAAATACAAATAGAAAAATAAAATGTTTTTTCTATATTTTTTGACCTATAGACAGGATAAAATAAAATATATTAAAGAACAAAATAATTTTTAAACCTATGCTGTCTTTTAGAAGTAATGATTTTCCTGTTCAGAACTAAATTCTATCACAAATATAAAAGTTTTGGTGTTACATGGGGTTTTTTTTCATTAAGCTTCATGTTGTTACCTTGAAATCATGAAGAAAACACGGTATTTTTGCCAGAAGTTTATGACTGAAAAAGCATGAAGGCAGACATATTAACAGTCTTTTTAACCCCTTTACTTGTATGCTGTAAGCTAAAAACTTAACCTGCCCTTTAACACTGTCATTAATTCTCAGATTCTTTCCTGCAAATAGCATGGCAGGAGTAAATCTTGGAATCAGAAAATAAATGGTGACAGATAGTTCAACAAAGGAAACAGAAGAATAAGAGACATACCCAGCTAAATTATGGTGAATTAAAATTAAACATATATATGCTTATATTTCAATTTACCATATTTAATATTTAAAACCATCGTGTGTTATTAAAAAATGGGGAAAATGCAGAAAGTTATATGAAGGCCTAAGTTTACTAAAACAGTCTAAATTCACTACAAATAAGCAAAAAAACCATGACTTTGAAACCTGAGTAGCAACACATACCACAGAACTGAGGCAAATCACTGGCTAGGTAAAGCAACTTGATTACTGCACTGATCCAACCAATGTTGACCCAGGCAGTATCTACATAAGCAGAAAGGGCTCCCTTCTTCAATTCAGTTCATGCAGTTTAGCTAAGCACAATAATTAAATCATCTGTAGTTGATGAAACAACAAGGAATGATGGGAAGGATAACATCAGGAAAGCCTAATAATGAAAGTAATTTGAGGTGTGAAATCTATTTTATTCTTCTCAAGTAACTATAATTAACAATTTTATTTTAAAACATTTTAGTGTCAGCTTTCATTTTTATTTATTACTGATCTCATCCAAAAGCAGTTTGGCAAAAAATCAAAATGTAAAATGTACTATTTAGCTAATAGGATATTTGATATGCTATTTTCTCAGACAATAAAATACAAAAGTGTAACTAAGTG